CCTTTAAAAGTCAAGTAAACAATCATATGTATTTGACTTCAATTTAAAAATTTTTGACAAGTATTTTCATTGACTGACGCTTCTTAGCACATAAAGGCTTAAGATAGTATATCATGTCCCAGCGGTACATATCTGCACTGTAGTACGATCGATCAATCCTATAAAATAGATTATGATCAACTCACCTTCGGCAATCTTGTGTAAGAGCATTTTCTTCGGATTTTCTGGCTTCCTTCAAAAAATCAATAGGAATATCATCTGCTGCGGACATTTTGTGTAATTCACTTATCTTCCACGACATAAAAGTGAAGAAAATCACAAAACAACGTATGCAACAGGGCTGCAATCCGAAAAGATCGAAGAAAACAGTTTACTCATCCAGAAAAACATGTAAGATTATCCGCCATTTTGATTCTAGACCTTCACGCATGCGCAGACGTTTGACGGCGGTGTTCTCCTAGCACAAATATGTGTCTACCCCCAATCCCTCGATTGTAAGCCCACTAGTCTACTAAGGCAACCATCCTTTTTTTTATAACCCCCAGGTCATACGATCACTATTCTACTAACACAGAACACAGATAGCCTTGCAATTGTTGCCCCCCACCTGTTCTCTAGTTTATTACTGCAAACTTCCTTCCACTTATTATCGCAATCCCCCTTAAGTCTAGGCAATAGTCAATTATACGGCAAAATCTCTATGTTTTTACTCTCGCCTGCTGCAATAGCGATCACAAGAACATTGCTTGAGACAAGTACAATGGTTATGATAAGATCGTCCCCTTTATTCACACAAGATGATATTTCATTCTTGGGGATCTGTAACAGCATACCAATCGTAAGGTTCACAGAACTTGCCATCAATGAAACGAGCTGCAGCCAGTGTTCAAAGTTGTCTTTCATTGGCTTGAAGAAGGCAAACAGAATGGAATACAGCCCAGAAAACATAGCAGTCATACCGAGACTTAATTGTGCGACCTTCTGCGCTCAGCAATAAAAGCACTGCGCTAAAAAATATCTTGCGAAACAGCTCAACGATTTCCCAAAACCAGCAGTCTGCAGAATAGTTTTCATACATAAATCGAAGAACACCTTTCATGAAACTGTATTTTTGCAGGGACGACGACTCGGAATTTTTTAAAGATCTCATGAGGACGAATAGCACTATCAGTGGCATACCAGTACAGTATGCTATTGCCAATGTGCTTAAGTTTCCATATATCTTATGCCTTGTTGTGTCACTGAGTAGTCAGCTCTGAGGTATGATTTACAGTTGTGTTCGTAATACGAGCATATCATGCGGCAGGTTTCTGGGAGCATCTGGAAGACGTGATAACAAGTTGATGGAAAGGTGATGAATATCACCAGACTTACAAAACGGTAGCACGTGTACTTGTACTGCTAGATTTTCTCCATTCGCTCTTCGTCACTTACTTTCTTGCTCGTGAACCATTCAATAATATATTTGCTTAGGATTCCTATCAGTATAGCAGACCCAGTAATGATTACACTTGCAATGAATTGAGTGTATGCGTCTGTCTTCATTGAGTGTTTGATACAGTTAATGGGAACAATCTGCAGAAGGTTGAGCTGAACTATTCTGGCATAGACTGTCAACGAAAGGATGGGTCCAGGCCATTTGATATATGAAAAGGAGCCAAAGGTACTTGAAGAGACTTGATAAAACACAATAACTATTTTCATTATGTCAAGAATAATATCTGTCATCTATCTTGATTTGTTATCACCATCAGAATTTTTTGTTTGCCTCCAGATAAACAATATAATAAACAACAGTCAAAAAATTACAAGACATGCTTGGGCAATGATCCATGGCAAAGTGGGACATTCTCTACATATTGCCATCATTTTTTAGTAACCTTCATTGCACACGGCACACAAAATGACTGCTCATCCCCCTACCTCCCCATCCCCCC